TACGCACGTTTGTTTGATAACAGACTTTTGTCCTGGGGGAGAATTGTTCGCGTTGCTTGACAGACAGCCTATGAAAATATTTAAAGAGGAATCTGCCAGGTATTCCAATTATTGCCTTAAATTACTGAGAGATTGTAAGTCTTCTGCCCATCAGAATACAAAAATCACATATTTTGGAATTTAACTCAATTTGTAACATAACATATGTGGTTGGCTTTTAGTCATTATTTATTTCTTTGATGGTATCAAGCATTGGGTTTTTTCCTGACCCATAATACTTGTCACTGAGAAGCAGGTTTACATAATTTTGAGTATTAATCCTGGTATATGTACAATTTTATCATTTTTCACTGTTATTACTTCCCCAGGTTCTATGCAGCAGAGGTTGTCATTGGCTTGGAATATCTTCATTGTTTGGGTAATCTGATCAGTAGAAAATGTAGAGTTTATTCACTTCATTAGCTTTTTCCCCATTCCTACCACCAGTGCCAAAGACAGAATTTTTAAGTGGCGAACAAAAGAAAAAAAATGTGTCAAAAAATAAATGGGTCGGTACAGTAAACTCTAATTGTCACCTTTTTCTAATTAATAGATTTAATATTAATTTATTTATAGTATTTAACTATTATTTTTACTTTTTTATAATAAATAAATTGCAGTTTATATGATTTCACTATCCTAACTAATAATTTTCTATAACTTCATTTGAAAAACATATGTAAGAAAAAACTAGGGAAAAGTAAGAGGTTACAGAAATTTTTGTTTTATTTAGTTATATATTCTTAATCTTACAAAAATTAGAGGGCTATCAATATTTTATATGTACATGGTATATAGATATTAATTTGGGATTCACTCCGCCACTGCCTGCTATGTTAACTAAGAGGAATACGAAAGGATTTTCATTTTATAACATGGAGATTGAACCCCAGATCCCAAAATCCTTACTTGACCACTGAACCCACTTGGTTAATAGAAAGAGAAGATAAATATATGACTTCTGGTCAACACAAAGAGAAAGGAGTGCTGTCCAAAAACACAAGAAATAGTTTTCTAATGATACAAACATATATCTTTTACTAATTAAAATGACCATTCATAATTATTGAATATAAATGATACAGCAAGAGCTACTCATTTTCTGTCTTATTTATTTCTCAATGAGAATAGCTTAATCATTTTTTATATTATAGGTACGGCTTGCTTATGTCCTGTGCTAATTCTAACCCTCTTTTCCCCACTCTATGATGAATTCATACAGGAATTGTCTATCGGGACCTGAAGCCTGAGAATATTTTGCTTCAGAAGGATGGGCATGTTGTCTTAACTGACTTTGATTTATCATTTTTGACATCCTGCAAACCCCAAGTATGTTATGCTGTTCCTATCAGAAAAGCATATTTTTTTCATTGTTAAGATTTATGAGATTATTCTTTCATTTAAAAACTTGTGCTTGAGATCATAATTTAGTCAATAATTATGAGACTATGATACGGAATGGAAATCCACTTGTGTTTTACTCAATTAAGGGAATGTATTTCTTTTTTCTCGGATTTAGCTTGACTTAATGATTATTTATGGTTATAATAGCCAAATCTTATATCAAACATTTATATGATTGTTAAGTTACACATAAAAGTTCAAATACCTACTGCAACAATTTGAATTTGATCAGTGATTGTGCTGGGAATATTAAAATGATGTCAGAGCACATGTCAGCCTCATAAATTCCGCTGATGTGGTCTTGGACCTTATACGTGCTTGGATCTGTGATGTACTACCTTGATTAAGATGTGAAGGATTCGGGTGATGGATATTGTAATACTCTAATTTTACATTAAAAGAATATGTAATTGTTGAATTTTATATAGAGACTTAAATTTTAAATTATCAATAACTTAAAGATCAGTGCATTAGGCCCAAAAAGTTTGGATCAGTAGTACTTTTAGCAAAATGAGATATGTGATCTCCATATATAGGACTCTAATCATTTTGTCTGCCCCATGCAGATATTAAAGCCTCCAGCACCGAATAGAAGAAGATCTAGGAGTCAACCTCCACCCATATTTGTTGCAGAACCAGACACTCATTCAAATTCGTTCGTTGGAACCGAGGAATATATTGCGCCTGTATGGTGAATATGTTAATCATTTATGTTTATGATTATCACATTTCTTTGAACATCTAGATTATTGCTTCAGATAAAAGTATAGTTTTTCAATATCTAATTAAATTCCAGAACAAGTTTGGCACATGTTTTAATGCTGTATGAAATTAATGTCATTCATTCAATAGAAGTAAAACATGCTTGAATTGGAAAAAGTCAATACTTCTTGGCCATTTCGGACTCTTTTATTGTTGGCTGCTCAGACAGGTTTTAAATGCTCGTTCCTATTTATTTGCCTCTATCCAAGATCATGCATAGAAATACAGTCATTTTTTCCACTGCAACTTAATGTGTGCTTTGGCGGATCCGAGACAAGTCCTGGTTGAAGAAAAATCCAAATTCAACAAACAATTTGTAGTGGCTGGAAAAATATTTATAGACTATAATAAGTGGATATGGAAAGTTGAAATGGTGGATTTTTATGTATTAGGAAATTTCAGCAAAAGATTATATTGGCTCCGATAATGTTGGCTGCTGTATTAGTTTTCACCAGCCATTTTTTTTTTTTGTTTTGATTAAAAATCAGGACTCATTGTCAAATGTTTCACGTTAACTTCTTCTTTACCCCATGTTTTTCATTTTGGAGCTCTCATAACTTACTTGATTTCAGGAGATTATCACTGGTGCAGGTCATAGTAGTGCTATTGATTGGTGGGCTCTAGGTAAGAAAATGGCAACAATACTATTGCTTTTTCATTTGATTGAGTGAAGATGCAGTTAAATTAACTCTCTCTCTCTCTCCTTCTCTTCCTTACCTCCTCTCTCTCTCTCTCTCTCTCTATCTCTCTATCTCTCTCTCTCTCTCTCTCTCTCTCTCTCACTTCAATGGAAGGTCAATGCATTTTCTTTTTGATCTTGAATGCTGGGTGTCGTTATGGATAATTATGCTAGTCGCTTCTAGTCTTGGCTTGGATTCATTTGTTATTGGTGTTCAGGTATTCTTTTGTATGAGATGCTCTATGGCCGTACACCTTTTAGGGGAAAAAATAGGCAGAAAACATTTTACAACATCTTGCACAAAGATCTCACATTTCCGAGTAGCATCCCGGTAATTTTTTTTTTTGAATATTCAAGTTGCTACTTGTGCATTAAATTGTGTTCTTGTTGTTTAAGTTGAATTATTTCATTTTATTGATGCTGATATATTGATGGTAAAACTAGCATTCTGGTGATGCTAAGTTTTGGTGCCTTTTATCCTTGGTTTCAGCCAAAGCTAAAGCCACAAGAATTAACATTTTAGTGTTCAGAAGTCATTCATCAAGATAGCTGCTGATTTTGAAGTCCTTTATTTTGCAGGTTAGTCTTGCAGCCAGGCAATTAATTAATGCATTATTGAACCGAGATCCTAGCTGCCGTTTAGGATCAATTATGGGTCCAAACGAAATTAAACAACATCCTTTCTTCCGCGGAATTAATTGGCCTCTAATACGCTCTATGGTAGTGCTACTTCCCATATTTTTGCTCAATATTGATTTGCTTCTTGAACTTGCGTATTTCTTGTATGTCCTTTTTGG